ATGAATAAAGTCTGTGCGCTTTGATGGTAAATAATTACGAGACTAGCTCAAATTTAGATGTCTTTTGATTGTAAATGAATGAATATGAAAATGAAGAATAAAATACAAATGAAAACAAGAAAACCTATATAATTCAGGCCTCAAGACATTAGCAAACAATTCCAGTTAAGTTGAAGTGTAAATGACAGCCTGTATGACAGTGAAATACGAAGAAGCAGGAGCAGGAGCAGGAGCAGGAGCAGCAGCAGGAGCATTTAATTTATAGCCTGCAGCTTCGAGTTTCTCATAGCAATTGACGCATGGACATAGACTGAGGGCCTCATTAATTTGGCTCAATTATCTTATTAGGCAGACAACTCACATACATGCATATACATACATATGTATAGTATAGTATATTATCAGAGCTCTGTGATATTTGTGCAGCCATGGGCTTGGGTTAATTTAACAAATTTCACTCGAACTCCAGGCGCCAAATCATTTTGTAATCTTAAATTTTTCAATAGACGTGTGTATGTGTGTATGTATTTGGTATATCTGGTGGGACATCTTAAAGCTTAATGGCCACTTCTGTTCACGTAAGGGCCAACTTTCTTAGCCATTTCGTTCGGCAGTGGCTTGTGATATTATCGCCTAACAAGCGGAAAATGCCGTCAACTTTGAAGCGAGTGAGCGGCAGCAACCTTTCAACGTAGCAGGAAGCGGGCACGGATGGCCGAATGGCGGATGATGGCGGGGGATGATGCCACCCAAAATAAGACTCGCAGACGCACAGCAATTTAGATATTGATTTAGATAGCGCTGTAAATACTTGTGTAGTAACGAGTGTATTTACAGCAGGAAACGAGCATACACGACGGCTACGTGGCTGCCTATGTGGCGGACTGGCGGGCTGACGGGGTGGGTAAACAGTTGAGGTTGGATGCTGTGAATGCCAACGTCAGTGCCTGACCACCGACCACCGGCGGCACACCGAACTCTTGTTGTAATTGCCAATCGTCAGATGACTGATTTGAGATTTTCGTTTAATCATTGGCATTCATTTACCATTAATTATCTGAACAATATGTGCAATTAATTTCAGCTCAAGAAATCGTAACTAAACGTCTGCATTTAAACAAGCAAATGCAAAGCAACGAGCAAATAATCTGAGAAAATCAAATGCAACAGAAACCAAATTTAATTTGGCATTTGGGTGTTGATTTGAGAAACGAACTCAAATTACGGCATGTGATGCTACTAATATTACTATTTACTGGGATTAGTAGTAAAGGTTAATTAGGGAACCTTTTCTAATTAAATATTAGCACATAAAAGTATATCGTGTGTTTGGTTTTTGTATGTGGCTTGAGGGACTTACAGTCTACTTCTGATAATACAAAATGGCAAAGAGATACGTTTCTTTTTCGATTTACATAGAAGTTCAAACTATCGAGAATTATCGAGAACGATTTTTTAAGGGGATATAATTTTTTTCGATTAATCGCAATTTTGGTTTTAGCGGGGTACAAATTATGGAGACTCGACATAACAAAATTTTTTTATTGTAAACTAAATCCTTTGATGAATCTTTCTATACCCGACAGCAACAGCAACTGCTTGCTTCGAAGCATGCCTATCCTCGAGTTGGGAGAGTATTTTTCAAAAATAATACAGAATATTTTCTAGCAAGCAATTAAATCATCTTTGACTTTGATTTAAATTGAAATTTATTTCGATTTTTATTTTTTATTTTGATATTTGTGGGAAACAAAATCCATGCGGCTTTAACTTTGCCAACAGTGAGAAAATATTTACTCTTTAACTAACTTTTAAGCAATGCGGAAATGAGCTTGGATACGATTTAGTCAAACTTGAACGTAATTAAATGCTAAACATCCGACAGCCGAGATATCCAACATCCGACGTTGCCAAAAATAGATGCGTAGAGTTCTCGCTTTCAAAAATAAATGAAGCTACTTAACTGTCCTTAACCTTTAATGCTGCATGAACAGGTATTTGATTAACAAATTCCGTAAATTCTTTACTTTTGCGGCTGACAAAGCTACTATTTATATAAAAGCAGATAAAAACAGCGGATTTTTTTTTTTTAAATAAATCAATATATTTTACTTTTTTTTCACTTAATACTCATTTAAAGTGAAATGAGTATATTCGTACTTGCGCCTGTTTATCCTTCTGAATGCTCTTTAAACTAGAGACTTGAAATAATCGTGGAATAGCCTTGACTTATAAATTCTTGGAGGCTAAAACTATAAACTCCATTGCTGTATAATATATGCATATATACATATATACGAATTGGAGGCGTGACAAATCGAGCTTTTAGGCTGTGAACGAGTATACGGCAGTCAGTAATGCCCGACTGCAACGTTCTCACTTGCCTTTGCCTGTTTTTTGCCCCCGATTTTTTAACAACATTTATTGATCTATTTGTGGCACTTGAATTAAAATCATCTGGATACCAATGAAGCGACTAAATTTAATTAAATCAAATTTAATTGAATAAAGTTGCCAATAGACTTTTTTTCGTCTCTATTTTTTTTTTTTTTTTGTTCATCCACAATTCGATTTCAATTATTAAAACGGGCTGCAATTGTTAATCAGCGAGCAGCTGTTAATTTTGTAATTTCATGAAATTCGCTAGTTTTAACAAGTGTTTTTTTGAATACGCGCTTTCAGCAGTTCCAAAGCGAATTTTTAAAGTTTTAATCTGAATTTTAATTAATTTGGCTTTTCAGCTGCTGTTTTGAGGGTTTGTTGTTGCTTCTGTTGCTGCTAAACCAATTAGCAGTCCAGATGAGACAAAAGTTTAGCAATTTTGTCTGAGGAGTTAGATTTTCGTACGAGTTCTATGTGAACTGACGACTGACGATTCTCGGTCTCGCTGTCGTATACGCAATGCGTCAATTGTTTCACCATGTTCACGTCGCTCTAATAGCCATTGTTGTTGTTGTTGTTGTGGCACTTGTTGCTATTGTCGTCAAGATTGCATTGCCTTGCGGCTGGCTCTTGCCGTCTGTCGTCTGTCGTCTGTCTTGACTAATTTATATGTGCATATTAAATTAGCCCGAGCGGCGCACAAAGTGTTGCGCTTGGAATTAGTTCACACCCAAAGACAGAAAAATATATACACACAAGCACACACACACATTGGCACACCCATACATATGCAGAAAACGTTTCAATCTGATGGCTTTTATTATTTAATTGACAGTCTCGTGCGCTTGTTTCCGCCTGTTTCTCAGCCGCAATGCCATTTGGCACGCTTCGAAGCGGAATTGAATTAGCGTCGGCCAACACCAGCGCAAATCTGTACGCAATTTGATAATTAACTCAGCTCTCATAGAATGTATGCAATTTTTGGATGATGACAGGGAAGAAGAAGAAGTAGAGACCTTAAAGCTTTATCGATCGAGTGAAGATGAAGTATGCAAATAGGAAATGTGATAGGGAAAAGAATTTATGGACTATATAGATTTGCAAGCAAGAGAATACAAATTTTTATAGCAATGATAATAATCACATTATATTAATTCTTATATTCAATTAAAATTTTAATAACTATAATACTTTTTTTATTGACTCTGAGAGTTGATCCAGACTTCATACAGACTAAAAAGACTCCCCTTTCTTTAGTTGCTTCTCCCATTCGAACTAGCAGTTATTCCACTGCTTTTATATGAATGTCCCACATTTTTCATAACAAAATCTTTTCGAAAAAATATAATACAATAGTGATAATAATACAAATACAAAATACAAATAAAAATAACAAAAATATTAAAAATATCATTTAATATTTATTTATATGTAGGAATATTTGAAAAGTTTTACGATTACATATTATTTGTTATACAGTCGAGTCTTTATAATTTGTACCCTGCTTAATCAAAATCAAAATCAAAATTGTCGATAGCTAACATATATATAAACATATATAATTATTTATAAATAAATAAAATAAAAATAAAATATAAATAAATAACAAAAATGTAAAAAATATTTATAAATAAACAGATAATAAAAAATAAAATAAAATATAAATACAGAAATAAATAAATAAATAACAAAAAATATATAAATA